ATTCTGTGAAAATGCTGTATTACTAAATAAAAATAATAAAGTAATTTTAAAAAAAATGCTATACTAATATTAAAGAAAAATTAAAATTATAATATTTGACTAAATTAAAATTTCTATTAAGTTAAAGTTGCTTAATTATATTATTATTAATTGGTCAGTCAACTAATTAGTTAAAATCAGTCAGTTAATTAATCAGTTAGTCAAAGACTTTTAACTAATTATTGATTAAATCATTAATTAACTATAACTAATTATTACCATTCTTAATCCAAATAAATTTAACTTTTCTTTTTTTTTAGAATAGTGAAAATTGGAATAATATTTTTTAAATTTATAATATGAATTATTAATCATATTTTAATAAAGTATTCTAACTTAATTAATATAAAAAGCTAACTAATAATCAAATAAACAGAAGATATAAGTTTTATAATAATTGGTTTATTAATAATTTGAATAATTTTAAACTATAAGAATATTTAATTTGACCTCTATTTTATTATTCTAAAAGATAATAATCACTTTATCAGCAAAATCTTTAGTATATACTCTTGTAACTTTAACAGAAGCTAGGTAATAATATTTATTTATATAAGATTTTATTTTTGTTTATGCTATAAAAATAAGGCTAATTTTTGTTAAATAATAATAATAATATGTAATAAAAGTATTTTAGTAATAAGATTAAAAATAAGTTGATAAGTATTGATAAGATTAATATATGTTAGATTTTTTTAATGTAAATAATTTACCATATAAACTTTAATAATTTATATTTTTCTTTAGTATAAGTGGTTCTGAACTTGATGTAATTATGATTTTATTTTATGAATCTAAATTTTTTATAGTTTAAGTGATTTTCCTGAAATGTGATATCTTTTATAATTTCTCTTCTAATAATTTATTTTTATTATAAGTTTTACTTATATTTTAATATAATATTTTAATTTTTTAATTGTACACTTTATTTTAATATGTTTTTTTTTGCTATTTGACAATTTTTAATATTAATAAATCTTTTAATAAATTATTTGTAATAATTTTATTATTTGTTAATATTCAGATATATTTTTTATAGTTAAATTAATCTATTCAGTTGTATTATATTGTAAAATAGCTTTTTTAATATTATTGTAATGTTAATTAATTTATATATTGAAATAGATATGTAGCAAATGTAATTAGTATTTTTAGAATTAACTATCATATCACACATGATATAAAAAATTTTTAATATTAGCAAAAAGTAAAAGAAATAATTTAATATATTTATAAATTTTATCTTTAATAAAGTTAGTATTTTGCTTTTATTTTTTCAAATATTACATTTTTATATTAATTTTTTATGATTTAGTTTTTAGATTACATAATATAGTATTAGATAATTAGACAATTTTAGATAATTTTGAACAATTTTAGACAGGTTTTGAATAAGTTTTAGATACTTTTCTTATATTTAAAATCTTGTTCAAAACTATTAAAATCTAAAAATATGTTTAAAACCCATTACTGACATAATGTGATTTATTTATAATATATATATATATTATAAATTTTTTGATATAAATTCTGAGGTAACTTATAAAAAAATCTTTACTAAAATTTAATGTCTTCAAAAAATTTTGTATATTGATTGATTTAGTTTTTTTAAAAAAAAAAGAATATAAAAAATATAAAAATATAAAAATGCAAATTTTTTAATAAATTTACAACATTATTATTAAATTAGATTACTATAAAATAATTATTAATAACAAATATTATTTTGATCTTATTAACAAAAGAAATTTATGAATAAAAAGATATTATTTATTTATTATTTATTTAATTATTATTTATTTATTTAATTATTATTTTAATTAACTATTTATTTATTCAATAATATATATCATTATAATAAATTTTTATTAAATTATTATTAAAAAAAATACATCTTTAAAGTTTTTTTTAACTTTTATTTTAAATATTTTAGAACTTTATTTTGAAAAAGTTTATAAAATATTTTTAAATAAATTTATAACTTAAATAAATTATATATATAATATATATAATAATATAAATAATTACATGATCAGATATGATAATTTTACTTTAGCCATAAAGTAATTTGCAATAGTGAAAGTTTAATCATATTAACTGGATAATTATAATGTAATTTTACGGATAATTGCTAATAGCTTTATAGTTACTATAAGCAATATATTTATTAGTAGATTTTGCTACTTTATAGTAAAATATCTAATTAATACATTACTTATTGAGAACTATAAAATAATCTCTGATAACTTGTGAAGTTACTATTAATAATATATATATAATTTTTTAATCAATCAGATTGGTAAATAGATTTAGTCTTATAAGTAAAAGAAATTAGCTAATTTCTAGCATCTTTTATTAAAAAATTAACTTTAAATAATCAGATAATAGGTCTAAAAAATATAAAAAAAACATATTTAAGAAATATAATTAAAGAATATTTTTAAAAAATATAAATAAGAAAATATATTTGAGAAATGAAAATAAAAAAAATAAAATATAAATGATAAAATTACTTTAAATAGCTTAAAAATATAATTATAATCAAAATTATTTACTAGTACTTTTCATAATTTGATAATTTTCATTTATCTTTATAATAATATTTTATTAAAGCTAAATAATATTTAATTCTAAAATCCTTTTTCTTGATTATCCTTTAATATAATAAAAGCTTAATAATTTTATATGATTATGTATAAATTTAATATTAATTTTTAATAAATAGCTAATCATTCAAAATATTAATTCTCTAAATAAAATTTTATATTTTATATTACAGTGAATATTTTGTATCTGAGATAATTGTAAATGTTTTATTTATAATCATCTTAATTTTTTTTGCTTTATTATTATCTTTTTTTAGTTTGTAATATTATTGATTTAAATAAGATTCAAATATTTATAATTATTTATGTTTTTTTTTTAGCATTAATATTTAGTATGTTTTTCAGAATTAAAAAATTCTTATAAGTATAATTTTCAATTAAATATGTTATTTTAGAGAAAGTATGGATTTAAAAGATAACTTTTTTTACATTTATTTAATTTTAATTTATATTATTTTATATATATTTAAATTTATTATTATTATTTATAAAGAAAAATAATTAAAAAACTTAATTAGAGTATTTTTAATTATTAGTTTTATCTAATATACAATTAAAAGAATGTTATCTTAATATAAACTTATTAAAATTATTTAAGATATAGGATAAGTAATTAATTATCAATTTAATATCAAACAAAAAATAATCAAAGGATCTATAAATAATAAAAATTGTTTATATGTTAAAATATAATTTTTTCCTATAAAATGTTTATATAATGTTTGATGACATATAATGGTGACAAATAGGATTCACAATCCGAAAACAGGTAGGGCGTGATAAATAACGTGACTACTAGCCGATAAAGAGAGTGAAATTTGGGCGATGTTATTTTGATCAAAATTACGGGATACTTGATAAATCAAAATAATAAAAGTTCTTGTTAATGTCAACTTTAATAAGAAATAAAAAATGTCAAAAAATTTTGAAATTTTCGTTATAAATTTAATATGATTTATAATTAAATAAAGTTGTTAATTTTGTCATTCACTTACCTACCAAATGTCAATTTTTTATCCAACATCATGTGATGATAAATCAAGTTATCCCGATACGTAACACGTAACACGGTAAACTTATTTGTTTTATTATATAATAAATCATGTGACACATGCAAAGTCGTATAAATGAATGTAAGAACGCGTTAAATTTAAATATACTCCCAACTTTCTTTCTAAAAATACGTTCCCTATTTTTCCCACTTTCTTAACGAATATACTTTGTCTATACACATTTCTAAACCTTTCTCTTATTTCACCAAAAGGTACCGAAGATGAACACACAAGGACTTTTATATATTGATTACGTTAGTTTACACTCGCGTTTTCTCCTTCAAAATAAGGAAAACTTTGACCCTGTTAGTAAAACTTTTGCAGGAGTTCATCGTAATAGTAATAACGTCCTAAGAACAAACTCAAAGTTGATGAACTTTGTACCTCAAAGGAACAACAGGGATCCGTTGAGGGAAATTTTTCTCTACCAAGAAGAAACTATCAGCCGCACTGTCGCCAACAACACACACACCCACAATATCGCCCGCACTGTCAACCGAGCGACTGCATCACGTGATACAGAAATCATTTCAACTGGTCCAAGGGCATCAACAACTACAAATCAAGACGCAAAGAAAAAAAAAAAAAACCGGGACGGAAATAAAAGGTCTCGAGCTACCAAACCAAGAACCAAACCAATAACCGAAGAAAGCTTATTGAAATTGAGATGATGTTATAATAAACTTTACTGATGAACACTTTGGACAATTATAGACGATAGACAATAAATTTGGTGGGAACTAGTCAATTATGTCATTTGATATGGGAAAATTTCACATCTGACATCTTTTTTTTACTGCTTAAAACCCTTTATTTCATTTTCACATTTCGTAAATAACTTTTCTTCCCACTTCCTTAATAAAATTTGTTCATCACCAAATAAAATTATATTCTGATTGGTAAATAAAAGTAATTTCTTCAACGCAATTATTTAATGTTAAAATTAGAGCAGAGTGATTTTCTGTTTATTAAGTTGTGTTTCATTCGGATAGTTCTTTCCGATTAAAAGTTATATTAAATTAAGTCGATCAAAAATACGTTCGCCGAGAAAATTAAATGTGAGGCATATGATCCGATCCGGGACTTGATTTTAATGATTTAATAGTAAAACCCATGACATGATCTCAAATTTATGAAAATGATGATATGAGTATGAAAAACTACCGATCAATCACGTAAAATAACGATTCGCTAAAGAATGATATAATAATGATTAATAATGAAATGATTTTACTGATTATAATATTCTCCTATATATATACTGCTCAGGACTAGATAAACAAATCAAAACTATAATACACCAATGAATACCAACAACTGGGTAGATTTGAAAGCGGCCAAGAATTTGCCGGATTACGTGATTTTCGAATGTGCGCATCTAAAAATCTTGCCATTGGAACAATACTATCCAGAAGAAGGTTTACGTTTCCTCAACAAATCTCCATTAGCTTTGGTTTTACGTATTATCACTAATGAGATTTGTATAGTCTTAATTGAAAAGAAAAAAGAAATTTCACTCCCTTTAGAACATCTTTTTAGGTTTACAATTAATGAAAGGCGTGATATTGAATTGGAAATGAAGAGGGAATTTAAAAAATTCGTAAGTAACTAATGTTGCTTTGGTGCGGCGCAGCATGCCATAATGTTAACAACTTTTATTTGTTTTTTTTTTATAGTATTATGAATATCCCCTTGGAGAACTTGGTTTTAGAATTCAAATCGCGATGGATCCTTTAGGAGGATTCCTGGACAAAATCACCACCATTGTTTTTAGCCCATGGTATTACGTCGAAGATGAAATATATTTAAGGCTAACTTGTGAAATGAGAAGGCTGAGGTTTAATAAGGTAGAGAAAAATTTTACCATCCTTTTTTTTTTATTTTCTTCTGGTTTATGAGTGAATGTATAAACTTCGATACTTTGATTTTAAAAGCCAAAGGAAAGTTCAGAGAAACAAACTATTAAACAGCTTATTCGGTTTCAAGAACCATCAAATCAGCTGCAACACAAGGAATCTTTAGAAAATGAATTTGTCAGCGTTAGTCGACAACTTAATCATGATCGATCTTTCAATCAGGATCAAGAACAACCAAATGTTACGAATGAAGTTGAACCCGTGCGATCACATTTTGCGTCATTTATTGAGAGGAACAAAACCAACACAGAAAATACAATGGTAAGACTTAATTGATAACTTTATTGGTTGTTAAGACTTTGTAACATTGAAAATGACCATTTCATTGATAAAGGATTTACCGACCGATGATTCACCTAAAGCCAGTGGAGTATCAAATAAATGTCTCCTTGATATGAATTGTCGGGTAAATCGAATTAGATCGAATTATCATATTTTTTTTACTAAAGATTTAACGACCAAGATATATTTATCGTGCCAATAATAGGAATTAATGAGCTTTTTAAATAATAAACCTGAAGTTGAAGATTCCATATCTATTTCCAGGCCAAGTAACAAAGAGGTAAACGCTTATGAAAATACCATATATTTCATTATTCAACATGTCTGATTATTATTTTGTCTTATAACAGCTTTTTACTAATAACCAATACGAAAGTGAAATTACTTATTCCGGCACAATGTGTGCTGCAGAGGTAGAAATATTTATTTTCTTTTGGTCACTACATTTAGGTTAACGAATTATTTATTATCGATTTTCAAGCCTCAATTATATATTACTTGCGCGTTTCTCACTCGATGTCTCACGATGGTAATTCCCTACGAGACTTCCCTTAACGACTTGATCAATATTATTGATCAACATCATAATATAAAAGTTAATCTTAATAACTTATATTTTAAGAATGGCATCGATGATAGAATTAACCTTGTAGACGAAGAAGATTGGATTGTGGCAAGATTTGAAGCAAAGGAAGCTATGAGTAACAAGATAGTTTTGTACTTTTCTCATAGTTAGTTGGGACTTGGAACTCTTTAATTTTCGAGTAAATCGGTTATTGTTTGTACTCGCTAGCACAGGATTTAACATTAATGTTCTTGCATTAATCGATAAAGTTCAATTTGGTCCTCGGTAAATAATTCTTATTGAAGGATCTTGAGAGAAATAAATCATAAGATTGAGATGGATAAATAGTGTAATCTATCACGTGATTTATAATTCGGGGTTTAGCGCACATTTTACAGTTTATCTGTTGAAACAATAAATCAAAAAAAATTCAACATTACGTTCAAATCTTTCTCTGAGCCACCAACTTTCGGCGTATATTTGAAATGGCATTATAAAATGCTTCCATTATAAATTGATTAAATTAAAAGATAGCTTCAACTTTTTGCGCACATATGAATGTTAAAATTCTCTCATAATCTCAAAGTCTTTGTGAACCTTTTTAGCGAAACTTTCAATAAGCTAACACTTTCAGCGCAAATGTTTAAATTGGAAGATAATTTATGTTAGCAAATTAACACAATGAATCGCATTATATAAATAAATTAATCTATGCCGTTAAATTATTTTGAATAGGAACGCATAATATCATTATACGAAAGTAAATTCAATTAGGGTATGCATTTTTTTTTTTTTTGTGTCGAAAGGGAATTTTGATCCTCCATTTTAATTCTTTAAAAGGTTTAAAAAGCGTAAACATCCCTTTTTAAAATATTTTTTACTAAAAAAAAAGATCAATTTTTAGTCGTGCACAATTCGTAATAAAAAAAAATTTATATAACATTATTTATAATAACAAAAATTGAACGAAATTTTAACATGTACTAATTGTACTAAAATGTACCAAGTACACCGTACAACGTCCTTTGTTCGAAGATTTTATTGAGCAAATAGTCCCAAGAATATTACTTGATTCACTGGTCAAATACACAATTAACCCTTTCTACATATCAGCACAATGTTGAATTGTATAAACTGATATAAGAATTTAAAAAAAAACCATCAATTGTACTTGCCATTGAATGTTTCATATGTAAAAATATAAGGAAACGGTTGAAGACTTAAATCAAATCAAATTACATTTCATAATTATAAACATCATTACTTTCTTTGAATATTTTCTTGTTTTGTACAAAAAAAAATAATAATAATCAATTATAAGAATTAAATTTTTAAAATGAGGAAAGAGATTTAATATTATCCATCGAATAACCTGAAAAAGCTACGAAAACAAAGATCCATCGAGCTTTTCATAAAACGAACTTTTTGATATTCTTGTATTCGACAGTTTCAGATGCGAACGGAATGAAAATTTGATAGTTCTTCGCAACAATCAAATAAATTCAGTTTACACTTTCGAATGGTGTGGTGATAAGTTTAATTCAGTCAATTTGCATAAGTTTATTTATAAAATTCTGGTTTATCAGCTCAATTCAAAAATGAAACATTTCATATTTGTTAAAATTTTAAAGTCCTAACAGTGAATATATCTCATGGAAATATTTAAAATAAACATTAAAACTAATTTAATTCTCAATTAAATAAAAAGGCTTTCGAAAATTTCGTTTTTTTTTTTTTTTTTTTTTTTTTTTTTTACAGTGCTAAAAGAAATATTTTTTTATTTCTATCTCAAATTAATGTTTCTATAAAGGTCTATCTATTTACAGTTATCATTGATGTAATTTTCTAATGCTTCAAAATGATGTCTAGCTTTTTCTAAACTTACAAAATAACGATGGGTAAAATGATTTCGAAAAAAGCTTGGAATATATTTTTCATAAGGATACAAAAATTTATCCGAATCTACAACGATTTGATCAACTTTTGTTAAATTAATGTTTGTCAATTTACTTCTTTTTTCATAATAAAAATAATTTTCAGTCTCAAAGATAGGTCTTGTCGATGTTGGAAGTGAACCATCAAAGTGAAATTTAATCTCTTCCCCTATATGAAAATAATTTAGGACATCGATGGATTTAAAGAAACGACTTAGCCTTGGATGAATGTAACTTGGTGAAATATGAGGAACTATATCGTTTTCTGCTACAACTCTCCATAAAGTACTAGTTGGCTCAAATGATCCATTAGATTGAGAAGAAAAATAAGCTGCAAAATCTTTATCACCAACATTTGGTGCCGCGAAAGTGACTCCATCACGAATAATACAATCTTCACCTACAATTTTCGGATTTTTCAATAAATGAGTATAAAATAATGTAGCAAGACCTCCTCCTAAAGAATGACCGGTAATCCATAACGAAATTGGATTGGTTTTATTGATGGTTTTATTATAATTTTTAATTTCTGCAGCTTTACCACGTATAGCTTCGATTAATCTTAAAGATGGGCTTCTTCTATAAAGTTTTGAGGCGGCATAGTCATCTTCAGGGAACAATGAAGTGTAGAAACCCTCATGAACTTGTCCATAAAGATAAGCTCTTGCATCAATCTTTTGTATCATAAAATCGGCTAACCATTCGCTAAAGTAAGCTGGTGTGGTTCCCTTGAAACCTATCACAATGAAATTTCCTTCTGTACTCCAAAACATTCCAGCGTAAGGTCCACCTAGGGAATTTAATTCCGTTATGGACGTAAATTTTATTCCCCACTTTTTCACTTGATTTCTAATAGGTTCTTCAGAGATAAGTAGTTGATCTCTAATGTATAGAATATCTTCTTGTATGATTGCTTTATTTTCAAATCCTTTGATTTTCTTGATTGCTTCATTTACATTTTCTTCTCTTCTTTCATATAATATCGAAGCTAAGAGTAAAAGTGTTTCTACCATATCTATTTTAAGGTTTCTAATCTGTTTAAAAAGGTTCCCGTCACCGTTATTTTCATCCACGTAACTTATAAAGGGTTTGCCCAAGATTACGGTTCCTCTACGTACGATATCATCTATCACATAAAATTATCGAAATTCGTCAAATAATATGATCAAATTTATTTTATTTTTTTTTAATTTATGATGCTTACCTAATTTTGTTTTCGTCAGACCATTCCATTCTCCTACCGACTTTGTCGATGTATCGATACCCAAGAAAGTAACGATGCGTAAAATAATATCAAGAAAAATTAAAAAAAACGCAAACAATGGATAAACGATATACTTGATAAAAAAATTGAAGGGATGAACGATTGGTTCCGTCCAATTGAATAATAAGGTAAAGATTAAATGTTCAAAGACGCGTTGCAAGTAAATGCCATAGGTAATTGAAGGCATAAGCAAAGGATAAAAATTATACTTTTTAGTCTTATTAGAACTGAGATATGATAAATCTTTAAAATGGTAATATCGTTCCGAGGAAATAAACTTGGATTTATCATTTACATTTTTCATTTTTCTTGAATCAAGAAAATTCATCATTTTATAAGAAATAATTTTTTTTTTTTTGTTTTTTTTTTTTGCGAAAAAATTTTTTTTTCAAAACGAATTCCTTCACACCAGAATTTATTTATTTTTATATATTACGAATCTAATGATTTCGATAAAAATAGAAATCATGTGGAATTATGGTCATGAACAATTTAAAATCTTTTGAATTCAAAGCCAGGTTTTTTTTTTAAACAAATTTGTTTAAAACGAATTCGGGACGGTTAATTATTTTATAAATACGTACCTTTAATAGGCAAGTTGTTTCCACCTTTTTAGTAAAATGATAAAAAGTAATCAAATTACAGATTTAAATTATCCACAATTGAAATATTTTTTTTTTATAACCCATCTTTGGTTCGCAGAGAATCAATTGTGTTATGTTTTATTTTTAATCTACTCAAAATTGGCATTGAATCCCTGCATGGATATCAAGAAGTCTGAAATTAAAAAAAGAACTCGTGATTGTCACCGTTTCCATGAATTTCCATGCAATGATCATCAGCCAATAGTTTTTGTTTAT